CTCACTAAAATCTATTTTCCCTAAAGAGATTGCAGGAGCGGCATCAAAGCAATTCCTTGGGGGTGCAGGTGTTTCTATTGTAACAACGGACGGTACTCTTGTGTTCCCAGTCCAGGCAACGAATAAAAATAAGGAAATCACCGCAATGCTTATGTATTCCAAAGACGATGGTGAGACATGGAAGTTTGCAAATGGCTTCACTGAACTGGGTTGCACCGAATCTTCTATTCTTGAATGGGAGGGAAAAATCATATTGAACGCACGTACGGACATTGGTTACCGCAAAGTCTTTGAGTCCACAGACATGGGGGAGACATGGACAGAGGCTGTTGGTACACTCTCCCGAGTGTGGGGGAACTCACCAAAACGTAAAGGACCTGGTAGTCAGAGTCCCTTCATTCCTGTAACGATTAAGGGGAGGCGTGTGATATTGTTTACACACCCCCTGAATTTCAAGGGTAGATGGAACCGTGACCGACTCCATCTGTGGGTAACGGACAACAACCGTATATTTGATGTTGGTCAGATTTCCATTCGTGATGAGAACGCCGCCTACAGTTCACTGCTCTACAAGGATGACAAGTTGTATTGTTTGCACGAAACCAATCTTCAGGAGAATTACAGTCTTGTTTTTCTCGAGCTAAAAGAAGAACTAAACTTGATCAAGTCAGTGGTGAAGACATGGATCAAGCAGGACAAGAACTTTTCAGACATTTGCACCCCAGTCAACCCAAAGACACAGGCTGGTGCAAGTGACTGCGACCTCCCGTTCCCCACTGCTGGACTTGTTGGCTTCCTTTCCGATGGCGGTGACGGTAAACAGTGGAAGGACGCGTACCGCTGTGTGGACGCCAGGGTGAAAAATGCTGAGAAGGTTCTCAATGGTATGAAATTCAAAGAAGTTGGTGCAGGGGCAATTTGGCCAGTAGGTAAGCAGGGACAGAACCAGCGATACCATTTTGCAAACTACATGTTTACGCTGGTAGCAACGGTACNTGTTGACGGGGAGCCCTTGGCATGCTCAGGGGAGAAGCTTCAATACGATACAGATTCCCCCGTTGTTTCACACTTCTACATTGGTGGATACGGAACCAGTGAACTGGAGACGGATGGCCATGTAACAGTGACCAACGTTCTTTTATACAACAGACAACTGAACCAGAGCGAACTCAAAACCTTGTTCTTGGCCAGGGATCAAATTGCAGATAACACCTGGGGNGTCGGCAACCCAGTCCCACTATTGGGAGTGAGCTTGGATGAGGCTGGTGGCAAGAAGGTTCTGGGACTCTCATTTAACAGCGACCAGAAGTGGAACCCAATATGCGGGAAGATTAAAGCCGCACCTACCGGATCGTGGGAACTGAACAAGGCATACCAGGTGGCACTCACTTTTGAACACGGAGTGGGTTCGATCTATGTTGATGGGGAGCCCTTGGCATGCTCAGGGGAGAAGCTTCAATACGATACAGATTCCCCCGTTGTTTCACACTTC